TGATACTGCGTCAGAAACCCAAGGAGGGGTCGCTATGAGTCGGGTCCGACTCGACGGCATACAACAACAACAACGACCACAAAACAAAAGAAAACTTTAAAGATTTATGTACATCAGCATGTCATGGTGTTATTATTAGTATCGTGTATGTTTACAAGAGAGCTTGCCTTGTCATTTCCCTGTCAAGTTTTGGCGTCGAAGTTATTTTGGCCTCACCGAAAAAAAAAAAAAAGGTGGTGGGGGAAGATATCCCCGTTTCTGTTTCCTGGATGATTTTGCATAAGGCTGATGTGATTCTTTCTTTACAGATCTGAAGAATTCACTGTGAGGCCAGTGGGTCTGGAGATTTCTTAGAGGGGAGGTTTCTCAATTACAAATTCAGTTACTTTGAAAAGTAACTTAGATTTTTGTTTTCTTCTTGTTTCAGTTTTGGAAGGCTGTGTTTTTCTAGGACTTTGTCCATTTTATATAAACTTGTGACCTGATTAAAGCGCCCCTGGTGCTGCAACAGTTAAGTGCCCACCTGTTAATTGGAGGGCTCCATAAGAGGAAGACCTGGTGATCTACCCCCTACCCCCATAAAGATTGTTGTTAGGTGCCGTCCAGTCGGCTCCGACTCATAGTGACCCTACCTACAACAGAACGAAACACTGCCTGGTCCTGTGCCAGCCTCACGATCCTTGCTATACCTGAGCCCATCATTGCAGCCACTGTGTCATTCTATTCATAAGGTTTTCACTGGCCAATTGTTTGAGACGTGGATGGCCTCTTCCTTCTTCCAAGTCTGTCTCAGTCTGGAAGCTCTGCTGATACCTGTCCACCATGGGTAACCCTGCTAGCATTTGAAACACCAGTAGCATAGCCTCCAGCCTCACAGCAACACTCAAGCCACCACAGTACAACAAAGTGAGACAAGTCCGTCTCCCTGAGTTGTTCCAAACCACTCCACTCACTTCCTGGTCTCCCTCAGCCATTCCAAACCCACCGCTCCAGCTCACTTCCTTCCTGGTTTCCCTCAGCTGCTCCAAAAAATAAAGATTACAGCATAGAAAATCCTGTGGAGTAGTTCTACTCTGTCACGTGGAATCGCTATGAGTTTAAACTGACTTGACAGCATCTAACAACACCTTAGGCACAGAGGCAGAGGGGACAAAACCACAGGGCATGGCTACAGTGAATGGTTACAAGTGTGCATCTTGGTCTCAAGACTTTTGGTCCCAGGGCAGCATGTCTGCTTTTCCTGCCTGGAGCTGCTATGTGGGGGTGACCTGGATGGGGTAGGAGGGAAGAGAGCCTGTGAGGCTGTCTGGGTCCACATGGGCTGTTCTCTTCTGCAGGACAACTGCCTGTTCATGCTGGGTGAGGAAGTCCGGCGCCTGTCAGAGCTGGAGGCACAGAGCCAGAAGAAAGACCAGGAGATCTTGGTGCTGCAGGAGGAGAGAGAGGCCCTGAGGAAGCAGCTGAAATGCCTGCTCGTAGGCAAAGTCTGGGAGACACACATGTCACCAGGCCTGCAAGTAAGCCAGCACCTGATGGGCAGTGAGGGCACTGCTACAAAGCACCCACATTACTGGTGGCCTTGCCGGCTGCTGGGCAAGTGCCCAGGCACCCTGAATGCTACCCAGTCCTTGCTGGAGCCAGGCTTGGCTCCTAGGATTTTGATCAAGAGGCTGGAGTTCAGAGGCAATGTAGACAGAGTGAGACAGAGAGAAAAGAGCTTTGAGCTGGTGTCTGGACACTTGAGGGCTGTTCCAGCTTTGCTTATATTTGCTTTGGAGCTTCTTTTTTAGAAGGGTCTTGGCTTAGTTCCCTTACCTCTAAAACAAGGGACTGAACTCACCTCTGGGGTTGCCTGCAGCTCTGCAATCCTGGGTGGAGGAGAGTCACCTGTAGCTGAACAGCCCGGACTTGCTGTGGCTGCATTGCAGGCTGTGTTCCAGGCAGCAGGGTGGGCAAGTGGTTAAACCTCAACTTTGGATTCCTTTCCCAGCCGCCCTCCCTTCCCTCCATTCTCTGGCTCTGGGACACTCCCAATCCGTTCTCTGTGTCCTTGTCTGAAATGGGAAGGGCGATGCTGCCTGCTTAGCACCAAGAGTTGGGTGGAGTGGGGTGGTGGTGTCTGGGGAGCAGTCCTGTGTACACACAGTGTGGGCCCCAGTGAGCAGTAACCTGATTTCTCATGCTGAAGATACAGCCCAAGCTGATGCTGAGGGTAGACAGAGTGCCTGGGACAAAAGATCTGCTCAGACAGTGATGGTGATGCCAGGGAGGGGCCAGTGGGCAGGGGTCTGGGGAGGCTGAGAGGGCCACCCTGTGTTCCTCATTTCCCACCTCCCAGGAGTTGTTAGATAGGTGTGATAGGCACAGTGCCTGGTGACATGCACAGGCGGCATGTCTGGAACCGGCCGTCTCAGTCCCCCCCAAGAATGTGTGAGTTACTGCAAAGCCTTCAGGGCTGCCCACCTGCAGCCTGCCGCGTGCCCCTGCCATCGCCTGACCTGGCCACTCCCTGACCTCTTGGCAGGACAGCGCATCCCCCTGCCCAGATGTGGAGCAGCTGCTGACCCCCTCCAAGGAGGACGGGTCGCAGCAGTACATCTCACTGGAGAAGCTTCGGGAGCAGTTTGAAGCCCTGAGTGCCCACATGGACCCCCAGCAGAAGCGGCTGCCAGAGTTGCTGGCCAAATCTGGGAGCGTGAGCCTCCAGCAGGGTGTCTTCGCGGGCGATGAGGAGGAGCTGCGGTTGCTGCGCTGGATGCGGGTGCGCAGGCGCTGGGTGTGGGTGCGCAGGCGCTGGGTGGGCAGCACACAGGTTTATCCAGGGCAGGAGTCAGCCTCCTCTCCTCCAGGGCTTCCTGAAGAGTGCCAGCCCTGACCTCAGGCGGCCCCTGCTGTAGGTCCCCAGGCCCCTGTAGCAGTGGGTGAAATACACCCTCTTGAGGGTGCAGGCCAGGTGCAGACTGGTGCTGAAGCAGGAGGAGGCCGTGAGTCACAGGTGTGATAGGCTGGTATGGAGCACAGTGCCCAGTGGGTGCCCCTCTTCTCTCTGGATCCCCACAGCAGCCTGGAATGAAGCCTCCTCCCCTCTCCCCCACATGAATGTGCCCCCTCTGTCCAAGCCCTCCTCCCTGGGGGAGCCCCCCAGCCCCACCTAGCATGGCCTCCCTCTCCTAGGTGCAGGAGGACTACATGGTGGCAGAGAAGGGCAAGGACCTGGAAGGAGTAGGAGGAGGCAAGGAGGAAGCGAAGCTATCGAGTGCTGCCGAGGGGTCAGAGAGGGTGGGTGCAAAGGAGGTTGTGCAAAAGAAGGGGGCTGAACAGAAGGAAGTGTATGAGGAAAAGGAGGAGGTTGAGGAGAAGGAAGAGGAGGTGGTAGTGGAAGAAGAGCAGGATGAGGAAGGCGAAGAAGAGGTCCAGAGGAGGAAGACATACTCTCTGGATGAGGCATTTGAGGATGAGCTAATGGCCAGGCTGGAGGAGTATGAGCAGGTGGTCCAGGAGATCCAGTATGACCTGGAGATCACCAGGAGCAGATACTTGCTGGCAACAGGTGAGACCTGCCACCGCTGCAGGGCTGAGCTGGGGAAAGGGCTGGAGCAGACATTAGTAGGGAGCATCTCGATGCTGCCTGCTTTGCTCCAAGGGTGGGAGGAGCAGGTATGCCCTGTCCAAGCCATTCAGGGGTGGAGGCCCAGCCTGGATCTCATGGGGGCACAAGACAGACACAGTGATACTGGCCCCTTATCTTGTTCTTCATCATCCCATCTGGTTCTCCCCCATCTTCTCTGCTGTCCCTTGTCCTTTGCTCATTCAGGAGCAATTACATCTTTGCAAAGACAAGTGGATTTTCAAGAGTCCCAGCTGAAAAAGATCAACACAGAGAACGAGAAGCTGCAGAAGGAGCTGCGAGAGAGGAAGCAGCAGCTGCAGGCCATGTCCAACAAGGTGAACACCTACTGAGCACAAGGCTTTGTCTGACGAGGTGGCTGACCGCTAGAAAGGCCTACTGAGCACTACTCCATGTCAGATAAAGCAGCCAATGCCTAGTGACACCCACTGAGCACTTGGCCATGTCCAACAAGGTGGCAGAGCCTCTTGACACCCACTGAGTCCTTGGCATACGTGTGTTCACTTCCCCTCCCAGCAGGCTCAGGGTGAGCACCATCCTACAGATGAAGGTACACTGAACTTAAGTAACTCAACCTGCCCAGGATCACATGACTGATGGGGGGCACAGTGGGCACTCACTCCAGCTTTGTGGGAAGCCAAAGCCCACCAGCCACCCACAAACCTGCACTGTCCCCCAGCTCTAAGTGATATCCCTGTCTCCTTGGCGAGTTTATTCTCAGTCACTTCCCAAGCATCGCCTGGCTCCTGAGTCAGCTTGAGAGCCCATACACACTTAGAGAGGCTGCTACTCCGCTAAGGATATCCTTTATTGTTGCTGTTAAATTTGCTTAATTTTCATTTGTGTCCAAGTTCTTTACGCACACAGCTCAAAGAATCAGAGTTCCATCAAGTTTCTCATGAAAAACAGAAGTCTCCCACTCCTCTCATCCAACCGCTTTCAACTCTTCTAGCTGATTCTTTGGGAATCGCCCACTATATGTCTACTACAGTTGCCATGGAGTCAGCTCTAACTTAAGGCAACCTCCTGTGTGTCAGAGTAGAACTTTGCTCCATAAGGTTTTCAATGGTTGATGTTTTAGAAGTAGATTGCCAGGCCTTTCTTCTGAGGTACCTCTGAGTGGATTCCAGCTGCCACCCTTTGAGTTAGCACGTAATAGTTGTAGACCCAGAGACTCTCTAAATCTCATGCTTATATTGCCCATTCTTGACTTTTCTAGGTGTTAAGCATTACCCAATGCTTTACTCTTTCTTTCTCTGCCTCCCTAACATAGGGTCATCCTTTCCATTCATCCCCCTCCCAATGTTGTTTATCATAATGTTAGTGAGATCAATACTATGTTTAGGGCAGCTATTGGAAACATGGAGTCCTTGGGAGGCAAAAACATAGTAGCTGGACTGCTACTAACTGATGGGTTAGCTGTTCAAACTCACCCAGAGGCACCAGAAGGAAGACCTGGCAATCTGCTTCTGAAAGGTCACAGCCATGACAACTATGGAGTGCAGTGGGGAGCAGAGCACATCCTTTAAACCCGAGGTCTCTGCAATGAGAAATTCCAAGACCCATGGAGATACAAGGAGCTTCCCAAAGAGCCTTCCTCTGGAGCTATTGTTATTGTTAGGTGCCCTTGAGTTAGCTCCAACCCATGTTGTTGTTGTTGTTATGTTCCGTCGAGTTGTCTCTGACTCATAGCGACCCCTCCTTGAGTTTCCGAGGCAGTATCACTACGGAAGTAGATTGCCCCATCTTCCTTCTGAGGAGTGGCTAGTGGGTTTGAATTGCCAGCCTTCTGGTTAGCAGTCAAGTGCCTCAGGCACTACACCACCAGACCTCCTCCTGTGTCATCTTCACAGCCCCTGTTATGCCTGAGCCTATTGTTGCGGCCACTGTACCAATCCATCTGTCTAAAAGTCTTCCCCTTTTTTGCACAATATCCTTCTCCAGGGAATAGTCCCCCTTATGACATGACCAAAGTAGGTGAGACAAAGTCTGCCCATTCTCACTTCTAAGGAGGATTCCAGCTGCACTTCTTCCAGGACAGATTTGTTAGTTCTTCTGGCAGTCCAGGAGCTCTGAGAGCACAGTGCCTAAGGCATCTGACTGCTAAACAGAAGGTTGGTGGTTCAAACCCACTAACCGCTCTGCAGAAGCAAGATTAGCAATCTACTTCTGTAAAGATTTACCACCTTGGAAACCCAATGGGGATCGCTATGAGTCAGAATTGACTCGATGGTAGTGGGTTTTGTTTTGTTTTGTCTGGCAGTCCATGGTATTTTCAGTATCATTCACCAACACCACAATTCAAAGGCATCAACTCTTCTGTAGTCTTCCTCATTATTGTCCAGCATTCACATGCATATGAAGCGATTGAAAATACCATGGCTTAAGTTAGGCACACTTTAGTCCTCAAAGTGACGTCTTTGCTCCTTAACATCTTAAAGAGGTCTTTTGCAACAGATTTGCCCAGTGCAGTATGACGTCTGATTTCTTGACTGCTGCTTCCGTGAGTGTTGATTGTGGATGGATCCATGTGAAATACAATCCCTGACATCATCAATCTTTTCTCCATTTAACATGGTGCTGCTTATTGGTCCAGTTGTGAGGATTTTTGTTTCTTTTTGTTCAGGTATAATCCATACTGAAGACTGTAGTCTTTGATCTTCATCAGTAAGTGCTTCAAGTCATCTTCACTTTCAGCAAGCAAGGTTGTGTCATCTGTATATATCACAGATTTTTAATGAGTCTTCCTCTGATCCTGATGCCACAATCTTCTTCAAATAGTCTAGCTTCTCATGTTATTTGCTCAGCATACATACTGAATATGTATGGTAAAAAGATACAACCCTGATGCACACCCTACCTGACTTTAAACTATACAGCATCTCCTTGTTCTGTTTGAATGACATCCTCTTGGTATACGTACAGGTTCTGTATAAGCACAATTAAGTGTTCTGGAATTCCCATTCTTCACAATGTTGTCCATAATTTGTTATGATCCACACAGTTGAGTACCTTTGCAAACTCAATAAAACAAAAGTAAACCTATTTCTAATAAGCTTTACTTTCAGCCAAGATCCATCTGACATCAGCAATGATATCCCTCATTACACCTCCTCTTATGAATCCAGTTTGAATTTCTGAAAGTTCCTTGTCAATATACTGCTGCGATCATTTTTTAATTTTTTTCAGCAAAATTTTACTTGAATGTGATGTTAATGATATTGTTTGATAATTTCCACATTCTGTTGGATCACCTTTCTTTGGAATGGGCACAAATATCAATGTCTTCCAGTCCATTTGCCAGGTAGCTGTCTTCCAAATTTCTTGGCATAAATGAGTAAGTGACTCCAGTGCTGCATCTGTTTGTTGAAACATCTGAGTGGGTATTCCATACATTCCTGGAACCATGTTTGTTTGTTTGTTTGTTTTGCCAATTCCCTTAGTTCAGTTTGTACTTCTTCCTTCAATACCATTGAAGGAAGATCAATGTTACCCCCTGAAATAACTGAACATTGACCAGTTCTTTTTGGTACAGTGATTCTGTGTATTTCTCCCATCTTCTTCTGATGCTTCCTACATTGTTCAATATTTTGCCCATATAATCCTTCAAAATTTCAACTCAATGATTGAATTTTTTCTTCCTGTCTTTCAGCTAGAGAAATACCAAACGTGTTCTTCCCTTATAGTTTTCTAACTGTAGGTCTTTGCACATTTCATTGTAATACTTTACTTTGTCTTTTCAAGCCTCCCTTTGAAATCTTCTGGTTACCTCTTCCAAGGTAAGCATCCATTCACTTTAGGTACTCTCCATTCAAGAGCAAGTTTCAGAGTCTCTTCTGACATCCATTTTGGTCTTTTCTTCCTTTCCTGTCTTTTTAATGATTTTTCCTTTCTTCATGTATGATGCTCTTGATGTCATCCCACAACTTGTCTGGTCTTGTCATTGATGTTCTGTGCCACCACTTACCTGTCAGTTTGTCATACTGTGGTGGCTTGTGTGTTGCTGTGAGACTGGAGGCTATGCCACTAGTATGTCAAATACCAGGAGGGCCACCCAGGGTGTGGACAGGTTTCAGTGGAGCTTCCAGACTAGAACAGACTAGGAAGAAGGACTAGGCCACCCACTTCTGAAAAAAATTGGCCAGTGAAAATCTTATGAATAGCAATGACACATTGTCTGATATAATGCCAGAAGATAAGCCCCTCAGGTTGGAAGGCCCTCAAAATAAGACCGGGGAAGAACTACTTCCACAAAGTAGAGTCAACCTTAATGACATTGATAGAGTAGAGATTTCGGGACCTCCATTTGCTGATGTGGCACAACTCAAAATGGGAAGAAACAGTGCAAACATCCATTAATAATTAGAATGTGGAATGTACAAAGTATAAATCTAGGAAAATTGGAAGTTGTCAAAAATGAAACAATGCATGAAGATTGATATCCTAGGCATTAGTGAGCTGAAATGGACTGGTATTGGCCATTTTGAATCAGGTGATCATATGATCTATTATGCTGGAAATGACAAATTGAAGAGCAATGGCATCCCAAAAGGGAAAAAAAAAAAAACCTCACTGCCGTTGAGTCAATTCGACTCTTAGAGACCCCTCCTTGGGTTTCTGAGGCAGTATCTCTATGGAAGTAGATTGCCCAAACTTCCTTCTGAGGAGTGGCTGGTGGGTTTGAACTGTCCGCCTTCTGGTTAGCAATAAAACACCTTAGGCACTACACCACCAGAGGTCCCGAATGGCATCATATTTGTCAAAAATAACATTTCAAGATCTATCTTGAAGTACAGAGCTGTCAGTGATGGGATAATATCCATAACCGTACAAGGAAGGTCAGCTAATGCTACTGTTATTCAAATTTATGCACAACCACTGAAACCAAAGTTGAAGAAATTGAAAAATTTTACCAATTTCTGAAGTTTGAAATTAACCAAACGTGCAATCAAGATGTATTGATTGTTACTAGTGATTGAAATGTGAAAGTTGAAAAAAATAGAATCACTGGTAATTGGAAAATATGACCATGGTGATATAAATGATGCCAGAGATCACATGATAGAATTTTGCAAGATCAATGACTTATTCATTGCAAATACCTTTTTCAACAAAATAAACAGCAGCTATACACGTGGACCTCACCAGATGGAATACACAGGAATCAGATTGACTACCTGTGGAAAGAGGCAATGGAGAAGCTCAATATCACCAGTCGAAATAAGGCCAGGAGCTGACTCTGGAACAGACCATTAATTGCTCATGAGCAAGTTCAAAGTGAAGTTGGAGAAAATTAAAACAGGTCCATGAGAGTCAA